AATGAAGCCGCCTGCGTTCACGGAAAAAAAATATCCCGGACGCCCTCCGCTTGAACTTTATTGTCGCGGTGAACATTCAAAAACGCTATAGGTCATTTGCACATGACGTCAATCCGCCATTTTGTTGTTAGCTTGTTTCTTCAAACAAATTTACTACATTGAAGGATTACATCGTAACCGGTTGAAGTGAAGTCAGCGGTGCTCTCGCATTTGAGAAGGCATGTAAATCCTTGAAATGCTCGAGTTTGGCACACGCCAGACAGATCGCAACACCAAAATGGTGGACGAAATTACGTCAGTGAAAACACCCTATACTTCGTTTCAGCTTAAATCCAGAGGTACTATGTTGCGCTTTTTGGACTCCCAGGAGATTAGGGAGAAGGGACGTCAACGACACAGCAAACGCAGATTGGGTGTTGATTTCGTTTTCTTCTGTCAACATCCAATCTGCGTTTGCTGTGTCGTTGACGTCACTTCCCTCTTCCAAGTCTCCTGGGAGTGCAAAAAGCGCAACATAGCACCCCAGGTGCAGCCGATGCTACAAGTACGAGTTCAGGGCTTCCACCGTCCCTGCCAAGCACGCGCGTTCGTGCAGTGCAAGCACTGCTAGGGGCCACATGCTCATGCCTGTAGCATCGGCTGCGTCTGGAATTAAGCTGAAACGAAGCATAGACCGAGCAGTCGCTCACTCAAAGTGGACGCTCTCAGGTATGTTTTCAACCGTCGTAGTGAAGAGAATGAGCGCGAATAAGCAGAACGATGGACGTTCTGAAATAGTGCCTCCGGACAGAGGGCGACCACCTGTGTACCGCAGATCTGATGGGCGCTTCACGTTTCTCCCTCTTGCATTGGACGCCTAAAATTCCCTATTTTTCGCGAAGTTTCCCTCACTTTGCGAAAATCGTCGCTCACGGATGCGATGAAGTCCGTCTTGCTTTCTGCTTTGTATGTCAAGGTGACATGCGATGCAATTCCTTATTACTATTAGCTTAATCTCTTCGCTGCACGGAACATCAGAAACTTGAAGAGACAAGCCTTTATATTTTCACTATGCACAGGCGCAAGGCTAGTCAAGTTCCTTTCCTCGTTCGGCGCGTAGTTTCTTTGTGGTGCCTCATGTCAATTCTCCGAGTGACGGAACGACGAGTTCGGACTGATGACTTCTCCTTACCCCGAGGATATGCTGCTGCTGCCTTTGGATCACGCTGCAAGATAAAACGGCCTAGCAAAGATAACACTCTCTTTCCTTCGGCATCTGGTTATGTAGCACGAATTTGTTAAACCTTTAATAGACAATAGATTTTGGTTGTGTGAATGTTCAGAATTACCTTCACCCTAAATATGGGTCCCTGGTGTTTGTGCGTGGCCGGTTGCTTCAAGTTTTCAGTGTCGAAAAAAGCCCCCCTTTTTTTTTGCTGTTTATTATTTTTTTTTTTTTGTGTGTGTGTGCGTGAAAGTATAGCTATTTTTGTGTTTTCTCTGGCCGTCACGCGTTGGTATTGCGGTGCTACTTCGAAAAGCGAAGGGAGTTTTGTGTTGTGAGAAAGCATTTAAAATTGGTGGCCCGCAATTACGACGACAGTAGAACAGTGAGTCACCCCGCCCGTATTCCTGGAAATGAACCTGCTCCGTTTTGAAAAATGGCAATGCAGCGTTACCCGTTCTATCTTAACAGCGTCTCCCTAAACTTTGCCTGAGCGTCCGTGTTGGCGAGCTCACCCTCAGTCATTGACGGGGGGGATGCCGTTGAACCCCTCCCGAAATAAAATCCTGGCTACGCCACTGATCTGGTCGATACAAATAAAGCCGTGCGGTGCGCCTGTGACGAGCTTAGTGGCGCCCAGTTTCATTGCTCATGTGTTCCATGCTTTAGCTTCACCAACCCTTCTCATTCTTTTAAAAAAATGTAAGAATGTTAGCCATCAGAGAAGCAGAAAAACAAACTATTCTGTGTTACACAAGCAAAAGGAACTTTTTAGCAAACAATGACACCTACGGTTCGAAAATTCTGATGCAGACAGCCAGGCAACACGGAAACAACTGCCGGGAAGATGGACACGGAGCGAGAAAATATTGGGAACACATTACACAAAGGAAAGCGATATCTGAAAGCAGGTGTATAAATACATGACTGTGAAGTTGCCAAGACAAAGAGGGAAGGCAAAAGCAGTGAGTATGAGCATGTTAGTCGGTTCCAAAGTTTCCACAACTTTCGTCAATGCAGCTCCGATGGGGCAATACACTATCCAAAATGGGTACAGTGCCAATTTATTAGGACCGGACATTTCATCAAACGCCGTTTCGTCCATTGCCGTTTCATTGAAGCCGTTTCATTGAACGCCGTTTCATCGAACACCGTTTCATCGAACGCCATTTTATTGAACACCGTCTTATAGAACGCCAGGGTGGCATTCCCGCTTCCTGAAGCTGGTCAGAGGTGCCCATCCCGGGTTCTGGAAGTTTTTGACTTGCATCGCCGCAGAACGTCAACTGACGGAAGACAAACTGGAGGCGATGCTGAGTTCCCAAGAGCCTCCTCGTCAGAAGAAGGCCATAGCGGCAAGAAATGAGAAGGACCGCCTTTTTTATGAGAACCGACGGAGCATGGCTGTGGGGGATTTTTTGAGAGCAATTGCTCATCATTTGAAACGGTGAATGGCTGTCGCACAAACACATGAACCCCCGAAAGTTTTCAAATAAAATTTGAAGTGACATACTTTTGACTTCGTTGAGTATTAAAACTAAAAAACAATGTTTCGTTGTAGTTTCATAAATAGCACCTCAGCATTAGCTACTGCAAGCTTCAGGCAGTAAAAGAGTATCAATAGAAAGACATGAGAGGCTAGGAGGCTCACATGGCTAAAGTTGTTGCGCCTGCGCAAAACCTAAGTCGCCTTCTGGCCTCCATGAGTTGGTGTGCGCTCTTACCGGGAGTGCGACTTTTTATTTCTTTGTTACAATACCCTCAAGGCCCATCTGGTAATATAGAGGGGGTGAACAGATAAGCACAATATGCGAAACAAACAAAAATCGGTACACATATCCTCTGGGTTACTTGCATCAAAATAAATTGTAACAGCTACAAGTTTGGACATTAAGAAAACCTGACGATGAAATGAGTGAATGACACGAAAATGCACTCGATTCATGCATAAAAGAGCATCTTTCACACTTTTTATGTAAGATACATTCAATGAAACGGCTGTCAGCGATTCAATGAAACGGCAATTTTTTCGATGAAACGGCGTTGGATGAAATGTTTGGGAACCCCAATTTATTGCAAAACCTGCTGGGCAGTGCAAGGGATTCAACTAGCAACTTCCCAACCTGTAGCAGGAAGTGTTCAGTGTACACACACACTCGACAATTATAGTTCCCCACCGAGGTAACTGCTAAAATGAGGTCTTAGCACTGTACAGGAGGTCAAAATGAAAATCTTGGAAAAAGTTACTTCATACTACTTAAGGCCCATTCACACACTTGCGCTTGACTACGACCGACTGACACAAGACCGGTTTTCAAACCTCTTGTGACTGCTTACGACCGGCTGCACAGCAGTGCAGAAAGCTGTAAACCCTCCCAAAAGGCTTAAAAACAGGTTTCTCCGGTCGTAAGCAGTCACAAGTGTGCGGACCAGCTGTTACTTCAGTACCATAATCTGCAGCAGCTAAAAGAAACAAGAATGTTAAAGTTGAAACTGCCAACCTTTTTGTTTTTCAATTGTCAAGATTGAATTGCGGTCATATATTACCGTTTGGCACAATTATATCTTCCTTCCACATAGATAAGAGTAGAATCAAAAGAAAACAATGAAGACATTTTTAAAAGCATATTAAACCTCGCCTCAATAAGCATACATCGAGCAAGTTCAAGGGAGTTTGGAACAAGAGCTAGAGCATGACCCAGTGCACATTCAGGTGCAGAACACAGAGTAGATGGTCTGAAATGCATTAAGAAATGTCTCCTGTTCATTCACCCAGCCTCTAGATCACAAATGAAGAATCATTTCCTAAGCACCAATACATTTGTGTGATGACAAATGATGGCCTTTGGACAAAAGGAGGGAGAGCAAGGAAAAACAGTCTGGCTGTATGGCCAACCAAGCTGGAATTATGATCTAAGCTTCTCGGATATTGCTGGCATTTGAAAGGCCTACCCGCTGCAGGCTTTATGCAAATGCCCTTAGGGTTTGTTTGCATGTGCCCGATGAGGCAAAACCGATCAGAAAATGGCCTGGAACGCTGCTGGAGTTTGTGAGGTTTATTACACATAAGCGCTTCAGTGCGGTGAGCTTCACTATTAAGCTCAGCAAGGGCCTTGGGACCTTGCTATATGCATACTTTGATTGAAAAGGCATGAAGTTTTGTATGAGCTACTCAATGATTACACACGGTGCAGGCTCAACTTACGGGTCAACCGCAAGGCATTCGGCACATGTGCATTTGGTTCTGGCGGATAAACTCCCATACCAAGCAAAGCTTTTGGGGCATTGTTTGCCCTTGTAAGGTTTTCAAGAGGGAACGAGGGCCTTTAAGTTTTATTTTTCATTTATCGTACTGAAATTTAGTATACTGATGTATTTTTCAGTGGTGATTTCAAATGTGCAATTAGTTTTCAGACAACTTTTCTAGATCCTGAGTTATCAATAAATAAGTCATTTTAATTAGGTCCTCTTTACGGGCCGTTAGTGGCTAGTTAAGACAGACTAATTAAATAAAATTATTTTATGACATATAAAGCAACAAAAATAGCATCACTCCACAAAGCATGTCTTGGTCAATGCAATTCTATAAAAATTACTGATATATTCTGAAGAATTTTACGCTAACTACCCACAACAAGGCCTAAATAAAACTAAACTTTATTGATAACCCAGGATCTAGTAAAACTATCTTTAAGACTAGTTGCATAATTAAAATCACCACTAAGAAATACATCAATTTACAGTACACTAAATTTTAACATGACAAATGAAAAATAAAAAAGTTGACTGAATATATTTACTCGTTTCCCTTTAAACACTTTTTTCGATAATGGCGGATCAGACTGGTATTATGAGAAAAGGCTTGTGGGCACAGCTTACACTTAAATGGCTTTTCACCTGTGTGTTAGATTATGGCTTCGCAGAGAGGAATTAATAGCAAAGGCTCGAGGGCACTGTAGGCACTTAAATGGCTTTTCACCAGTGTGTGTTCGATTATGGCTTCGCAGATTGGAACTCGAAGCAAAGGCTTGGAGGCACTGCTTGCACTTGAACGGCTTTTCACCAGTATGCGTTCGATTATGAATTCTCAGAGCCGAATTATCAGCAACGGCTTGGGGGCACTGCTTGCACTTAAATGGCTTTTCACCAGTGTGCCTTCGATTATGCAATTGCAGATGACAATTTTGAGAAAAGGCTTGGGGGCATTGCTTGCACTTAAATGGCTTTTCACCAGTGTGTGTTCGATTATGGCTTCGCAGATTGGAACTCGAAGCAAAGGCTTGGAGGCACTGCTTGCACTTGAACGGCTTTTCACCAGTATGCGTTCGATTATGGGTTCGCAGATGGGAATTTAGAGCAAAGGCTTTGGGGCATTGCATGCACTTAAAAGGCTTTTTCCCAGTGTGCAGATGATTATGGTAGGTCAGAAGGGAATTACAAACAAACTCTTTGGGGCAAAGCTTGCACTTAAATGGCTTTTCACCTGTGTGTGTTCGATTGTGGTAGGTCAGACTTTTATTCTGAGCATAGGATTTGGGGCATTGCATGCACTTAAATCGCTTTTCACCAGTGTGTATTTGATCATGACAGGTCAGAAGGGAATCATAAGCAAAATCTTGGGAGCAAAGCTTGCACTTAAATGATTTTTCACTCTTGTGCTTTTGAGTTTTGCCAAGCACTTGGGACTTAGAACCTGAAAGGGGAAGATGCTGGCACTTGGATTGTTCATCACCATGGGCCGCCAGGTGGCTCACAATTCCACACTGATCTTTAGTGACAAAGGTGCAGGAACAACATCTGAACCAGATGTCCTCGGTGACTTTCAGTGGACAGCTGGTCTCCCCCAACAATGTGGCTCCATCACCTAGAAGAAAACACTGTATGTATTGACCCACAAAAGCCCAAACAAAATAGCCACTTAGTTTGGCAAATGAGTAGTCATTAATGCCGTTCTGCCGCAGCTGTACAGTTTAATATTTCGCTGCGCTTTGGAATTCGGTTCACGGAAGCACTCAAATGCGACTGGTACCATAAAAGGGCCACTGAAAAAAAAGTTTCTTTAAACAGTCTGGTCGGGACATGCTTGTCAAGAAATGAATTTTATGCAATAAACAAAATTTTTAAAGCAATTATGATGGCGCGAGATTTTTTTTTTAAATTTTGCGCGCAAAGTCCATGACGTCACAAAATGGTCATACACTCTTTCCACCTCAACGAGATAGTCGTACTTTCTCCACCTTAACGTGATGGCCAAGCCGATCCACCTCTTCTTCGAGCGCACGAAATGCCGAGAAAACAAGTGGAAAGGAGGTGACTACCGAATAAATCGCGTCAACGTCGCTCTAAACCCATCAATATTGCTCTAATTTTTTCGCATAAAATTTATTTTTTGATGCACATGTTCCAACCAGACTGTTTAATCTAAAAAATAAATTTTCTTTTCAGTGTCCCTTTAGAAAATGAAAAGTGAAAACCCAGAAAAAAACGTATACCCTTTTTATTTTTATTTCTAAATCACACTTTACACATCTTCACGCTTTGGAAAGTAGTCCTCTCTTCTCAGAATTTTCTCTTTTTTGTCACAAGAAAATCCTCGTCTTGAAAAGTGAAAATCTGGATCTGTATGCGCCTTGGGGGGCTGGATACCTCATTATTCAGAGTGCAACAGAAACAATACTTCTAGAGATTTTTAAATGACGTTCTTTAATTTACCAATGACTTTGATTATGGCAGGTCTGACCGAAAGTCTTCTTTGAAGTTACCATTAAAAGAATTTCAACATGTGATGCAGTCATGTCTCACTAATATGGATGCAACGCTATATAGACAAGTTTGAGGGACCAATTCCTCCCCATGCAATTCCGCCTTCTGGATATTAAAACCCGCAGTCCAGACTATGGACAGCTAGTTTTGGGAACAAACTGCATAAATACATGCAGGTTTGTCTCATTATTACGGACACAAGAGGGTCCTCTAATAAAAGAAAAGAGCTTAGTTAAGACCTTGAGCTACAGAGTCCACCGAGAGTTTAAGTTGGCTGTTGGTTGCGCTTCCTTCGAAAGGCCTTGGCACCGACCTTGGCACCGAACAATGGTTCAATTTATCTGGGCTTTCCAGCCAAACGCCTAACCTGTACCTCTCTCTTTATGCTACGACATTCTTCAGGTTTGTCATTGTGGCTGCTTTTCCAGCTTGTCTGGCCTCTTTAGTCTATGCACATTTATGGGCAGCCACATTTTGGTTGAACATCAGTCTGGTAACTATGGGCACACCTTGGCAAGGGAATAAATTCGAGAGGGAGCACTTAGCTGGCTCAGGCCACTGAAGGAGTTTTAAGAAGAAACGTATACAGGGCAGCACAAACACAGACAGGGCTAGATTTGAAGATGCAGATCAAATATGTGCTATATGTAAAGAGGAGGGAAACATTTGAACTTGTGATTCTGAAATGTAAGGAGCTTAGTGTTGTTCTTCCTAAAGTGGCGACAAAGATACCGGGTGCCCTGAGTTTCGCTGGAGAAGATGGAAGTGTGGATTACAGTAAAGTATATGCAACAAATAGGTTAGAGTGCTGGTTCAAATTATCTGGAGAAAACTGAATAAGAACTAAGTAGCACAGCTGGGGGACAGGAGGAAAATCTGGACTCCCTCCCTCATGTCTCTGGAGCAGTCTCAAATCTGTGCCCCAGCGGGTCTCGTTTTGGGGCGATGCCAACAGAAAATTGGTGACTCCGTCGACGGGATGATAAGGAGGGTGTGTTTTTTTAATGTTTTTTGGCTAGGTTGCACAAACTAATTCCCATTATAAAAGGTACAGCTATTAATATTCATTCTTGCATGCGTCCGGATTTTGACCAAAATGGTAAACATGGTGTTCTTATATAAATAAACAAAGGCAAAATTTCCTGGACCTAAGGGTACTCTGGCTCGACTGCACTTTTTGTATGTTTCAATGAGTAAGAATCAGCAGCGTGTCTAAAGTTTTTCTTTATGTAGAATCAGAAAGGGTATGTCAAAACGATACACCGTGGATCGATGAGTGTACCTAGATCATATTGTCACGGGTGGTGACCAAAAAAACAGGAAATAAACAGAAAGAAATAAACGTTTAATATGGCGAACTTGTGCCAAAAGTAAAAGGGTATAAAAATAATAACAGAGCGTCGCTGGCGTCGAAGTCGGCGTAACAGCAGAGTCGAACGCTGGGGCGAAACTGACTCCGCTCGCCTTGCAGAATCCCTTATGTACCCTCGTGGGTTTCTGGATCGTTCGGCGTAGAAGGTTCGATGCGTAGAACATTCTAACCTCGAATCAGCAAGACGGTTCTCGAATTCACCAGAACATCAAATTACTGTCAACAAAAATGTGTAGCCGCGGCCAGGAATTGAACCCTGGCCTTCTGCGTGGAAGGCAAGCGCGATAACCGTTAGGCCATGCGCGCACTGCCTACTTGGGCAGCTGCGCGTGCGGCATTACTCCCCCCTTTAAAAAGTGCATCGTCCCGATGCAGCACAAAACGAAAACACAGATCCACAGCAAAAGGATAGCAGACTCGCGAGTCGCACTTAACAGTTCACTCTTCGACGAAAGTCCAGAGTTCTATCTTTCGTAATACGGCTTGAGCCGGACGACGTGCACCACCTCGGGTCGTGGCTGGCGTTTTGCAGATGGGCGCGTTCCGTCGGGTAGAACTTCGTAGTTCAGATCGCCGAGCCTTCGGATGATTTTGTAGGGTCCGAAGTAGCGTTTGAGAAGCTTCTTGCTGAGACCACGGCGACGAATGGGAGTCCAGACTCAAACTCTGTCTCCGGGCTGGAAGTGGACGTCCCGACGACGAAGGTTGTAACGGCCAGTGTCGACGCGTTGTTGGGCTTTAATCCGGAGTCTGGCGAGCAGACGGACTTCTTCTGCCCTTTGGGCAACCACCTGGGCGTCGTCGCTTACGTCGACAGCCGGTTCGTGGGGCAACATAGCGTCCAGCATTGTCGTTATTTTGCGCCCATGCACCAGTTGAAAGGGTGTCACTCCGGTGGTCTCTTGTACGGCCGTGTTGTAGGCAAATGTGACGTACGGCAACACCTCGTCCCATGTCTTGTGCTCCACGTCGACGTACATGGAGATCATGTCGGCTATGGTTTTGTTGAGTCTCTCCGTCAGCCCGTTGGTCTGCGGGTGGTACGCCGTGGTGCAACGATGGCTGGTGTGGCTGAGACGAAGGACTTCTTGCGTCAGCTGGGCCATGAATGATGATCCACGGTCTGAGATCAGGACTTCGGGAACGCCGTGCCGGAGGACGATGGACTCGATGAAAAACTTGGCGACTTCAACAGCCGTTCCTGATGGAAGGGCTTTTGTCTCGGCGTACCGTGGAGATAATCGGTTGCGACGATTATCCATCGGTTTCCTTGCGTCGACGATGGGAAAGGTCCGAGTAAATCCATACCGATTTGCTGGAATGGGGCAGATTGCGGCGCAATAGGCTGAAGAAGTCCTGCCGGTTTCGTCGGTGGCTTCTTCCGTCGTTGACACTCGTGGCAAGATCGGGTGTAGTGGTGCACTGTCTTCGCGAGCTTGGGCCAGTAGTACTTTTCGCATATCCTTGCAAGAGTCCTGCTGTAACCAATGTGTCCCGCCGTCGGGTCATCGTGGCGGGCTTGAAAAATTTCTTCTTGAAGACTGGAAGGGATCACCAACAGCCACGCCGTGGTGTTGTCGCTGAAGTTCTCCTTGTACAGTACGCCTTGTCGGATGGAGAAGGTTGGCAGTGTTCGTACAAAACCGCGGGGAACGGCGCTTCCTTGTCCCTCTAGGTGCTCGATGAGTGCGCGCAGCTCAGGGTCGTTACGTTGGAGTGCTGCCATGTCGCTGACATCCAGAGCACCGAGGAAACACTCATCGTCGTCCTCTTTGATGCAGGCAGGACCGGCCTCGGCTGGGGCCCTTGACAGGCAGTTGGCGTCATTGTGCTTCCGGCCGGACTTGTATACCACGGTCATGTCGAACTCCTGCAGTCGTAGGCTCCACCGAGCAAGGTGTCCGGAGGGGTCCTTCAGATTCGCCAGCCAGCAGAGCGAGTGGTGGTCTGTGACCACGCGAAAAGAACTTTCATACAAATATGGACGAAACTTTGTCATTGCCCATACGACAGCGAGGCACTCCTTTTCAGTCGTTGAATAGTTCCTCTCCGCGTTTGACAGCGTCGACTTGCGTATGCGATAACTCGCTCTGCTCCGTCCTGCACTTGCACTAGTACCGCACCCAGTCCGGTGTTACTGGCGTCGGTGCGGATCTCGGTTTCAGCAAACTGGTCGAAATGGCCAAGAATCGGGGGCGTCTGGAGTCTTTGTTTGAGCTCGTCGAATGACCTCTGGTGTTCTTCTGTCCACTCGAACTTTACGGCGTCCTTCGTGAGGTGTGTCAGCGGTGCGGATAGCGTGGCGAAGTCTCGGACAAAGCGCCTGTAGTAGGCACAGAGTCCGAGAAATCTTCTCACGGCCTTCTTGTCAGACGGCGGCGTAAATGCAGCTACGGCGCGGGTCTTCTCGGGGTCAGGTAGAACACCCTTGTTGTTCCCGATGTGGCCAAGCAACTTTAGTTCCCCATAGGCGAACCGACACTTTGTTGGCTTGAGTGACAGGCCGGCGGTCTTGATGGCTTGAAGCACGGCTCGAAGTCGTCTGAGGTGTTCGTCAAAATCTCGTGAGAATACCACGACATCGTCCAGGTAGACGAGGCAGCTCTGCCATTTCAGACCTGCCAGCACGGTGTCCATGACGCGCTGGAAGGTGGCTGGTGCTGTACAAAGTCCGAGAGGCATCACTTTGAATTCGTACAGTCCGTCGGGAGTGACGAAGGCAGTTTTCTCCCGGTCACGTTCGTCGACTTCAATCTGCCAGTAACCACTCTTCAGGTCCAACAACGAAAAATATTGGGAGTGGCGCAGTCGGTCTAAGGTATCGTCGATGCGGGGGAGAAGGTAGACGTCGTTCTTCGTCACAGCGTTCAGTCGACGATAGTCCACGCAGAACCGCAGGGTTCCGCCCTTCTTCTTTACAAGGACGACTGGGGACGCCCATGGGCTCCTTGAGGGTTGAAAGATGTCGTTGTCGAGCATTTCCTGGACTTGATCTTGAATCACTTTCCTTTCCTTTAAGGAGACTCGATACGGCGACTGGTGGACAGGAAGTGCGTCGTCGTCGGTAACAATGCGATGTTTCGCCATTGGTGTTTGTCGAATCTTCGATATCGTGGCAAAACAGTCACTGTATTCGGCAAGGAGATCAACCAGTTGCCGGCGCTTCGTAGCTGGGAGCTCGGGGTCGATGTCGAGCGGCGGCGGCGTCGTGCTCTTCTGCTGTGGCGACGAGGTTTCCTCGGAGATTGCGGTGACCACGGCTGGCGCCTAAAGCTCCTCGACGTGGCCCACGATGGTATCCTTCGTTAGGTGCTGCGGCTCCTCTCGAAAGTTTGTCACAAGAACAGTTGTACGTCTTTCTTGGAGATCCGTTATGCCTCTTGCGACCCCAATT